CAGTGAAACCTTATGTGTAATGTTGCAGGGGTTGCAATTTAGTGGGTTTCTCACCGTGTAGATAAACTTCCCCTACTCTGTTTCCTGATCTTTGTTTAAGATAAGTGGGTGTGCTATTAATTGTGGTCCTAACAAGGTAGTTCATGTTGTATGGGAAGAATACAAACAACAAAATACTTTCCTAAAAACAAATGGACAGACTAACTGTAGAGATCATTTTGGTGTATAAGTTTGCTTGTGTAATTTTGTTCTCACAGTATTTTCAGATGATAGTACAAGTTTCTACAAGTGCATCTAGGCAGCATGTCCAGAAACTCTGTGCAGGTATTCTAGAAGATTTGGTCAAGTTGTCTTTGGTTATCTAATTTCTCTCATCAGAATAGATACCTACCTTAAACCTCTAGTATCTGTTTAGCTACACACCTGTTTGGGAGTTCTCTTTAGTCAGATAGAGAGTGTTTGCATATTACCTTCTTGTAATCATTTGAAAGGAGAGGTGCTTCTTCAGCTGAAGAATAATTAGTGGATGAGTGGTGTCACCCTCCCTTTGGACAGACAGTGGGGTTTTTTACTGTTGTCATACTCTTCTGCTCTGTTAGTTCTACTTTGAAATGTGTTAGAAAGGGAAGACCTAAGATCTGAGTTGGTTATCAAATGGTGATTTCAAAGCAGGATGAGAGTGCAGTTGCTGAATGTGTTCTGGTGAAAATGCCCTTCCCTTCCTGTTCCTGTAAGAAGTGTAACTTGATAATTAGGCTAAATAGTGACTCAGTGACATTATGTGGCGTCTGTGTTTGAATTGTTTCTCTTTTTTTGGTGGTTGGCACTTTGAAGTGAGCTAGGTGTCTGAAGCACAGAAGTTGGAATAATGTTTGTGACTGAATGTTTCAGGGTGGGGTTTTTTCCCCCCACAGCTTGTAGATTCCAGTGAAAGGTATGTAGAAAGTTTGTGTTCTTAGTTCAGTGTACAAACTTTAAATCTCAGTTAGAAAAATGTTTGTTTGACTTCTTTTGGCCTGTAGATACGAAAAGAAAAAGCACCCCAAACAGCATTGCTGCAGAGGATGATAAGAAATCTGCTGTGTTTCGTGACAGTGTACAGTTCCTGCTGCCTGTGTGCAGTCAGTGCAACCCTGAAGGCATAAAGGTTGCTGCTGGCTGTAACTGGTTCTCTCCACGTGGCTGTGAATAGTGGTATGTGTGGGGAATATCCTACTGTGAGTGAGAGCTAACAACAGGATTTCTGTTTCAAGGATAATCACTACTGTGTGTTGACCATATATAAAACTACAATCAAAAGGTTTTGGCTGATTTTTTTTTTTCACCAATCCATTTCCACCCACCTGCAAACCATCACCCTTTTATCGGAAGACTGGGCACACAGATGTTTGCTTTCTGGTGACTTTTGTAAGAATTACTTATTTTTGTGCTTTTATTTAACTTTCATTTAAAAAAATTTTAACTTCTCATTTTTTTACTCAGAGATGCAGACCTCCAAGCAGGCATGCCTTCACTTTTCAGTGGCTGCTTCAGCTGCACATGGTCTTTATAGTGCTTATGCTGGCTTTGTACCATGCAGTGGCTGAGTGGTGGGAGAGGTGGTTGCTGGGGAGAGTAAGGGACTCCTTTCTCTCCTCACCCTGCTGTGTGTCCTTTTATTGAAGTTTCTATCTGTTCCAGTTGTTCCTGCTCGGCAGGTCTTGTGCAAATAAATATGTAGTCTAGACCCTGTGAGCAAAGAGACTTTGCTTTCCTTCTGGGAGCAAAATGCACCGTTTTGCTCTGTCTTTATCTCTAATGCCTTAGGCTTGAGATTTGGTCAGCAAGTTTGTTACTGATCTGTAGTAGAAGATTTCTGGATACCAGCTATTCTACTTCATCTGAGTACAGTAAAAGAAGGAATTACTCAGACTGTATTAACGTGGGAAATAAAAGTATGCTGTATGTCAGTTTGCTTGAATATCTCTGAGTCTAAAACATGTCCCTCTTGATGAATCACAGCTAGGCTGGCAAAGCAGAAGAATGAAATCTGCTGTTCAGAAGTCAGGAATGTTATGCCCATGCTTATTTTCACATCTGTCGTGAACATTTGTGAAAGATGGATTCCTTCATGTTCAGTAAAATTACTTTCTGAACATGACATCAGAAACTTATTTCAATTTCCACTCAAATAACTGCCAGACCAGATGTTTCCTGGAAAACAGCATATGCAAAGGTTCTTACTGAACTGATTTGCTTTTTCTCTCTTCCAAGTTATGTGAATTTGTGTCCATGACTGAAAGTTAAAAAGCTGATGAGAGAGGGAATATTAATATTGGAACTGTGTTAATATTTTGGGTCTGCAGTATTCAGATGGAAGATCCTTCTGTGTGTTTCATTTCTTTCCTCTTCGTTTTGCCTTTCCTTCTCTCCATATAAAGATATATTTCCAGTTAACGTAAGTTTTGTAAGGGCAAACAACGCTGGATTTTACAGAGAGAGCAATGTATTGAAGTCAAACATGCTTTAGCAAAATCAGTGCTTTCTTGCCTGTTGGTTTTTGATGCCTGAAAACAGCAGAAAAGATGCTGAGTTTGATGGATATGTGTCCTCTGTAGGTGTATTGGCATTTCTTTTGCATGGTTTTGTGCCTGTGCTTTAAGCTGCGTGGTGAACTAATCATGCTTCCTTTGAAGAAAGTAGTTGCTTTATCTCTGAAAAATTTTGAGCTGAACAGCTAGTCCTATATATCTGTCCAGTAGATAAATTCCAGCGCAAGTCCTTACTGCTGATAATGTGGATTACTTTCTCTGTTTCTGACAGCTGTGAGGAACATACCAGTTACTCAAGTAACACTTGGAATGGTGTGTTATGCCTTGCAGTGCTGTGTTGAGTAATTTTTCAATGTTTTCTTGTGTACCAAGTTAGTTGTACTCTTAGAGCAAACAAAAAGATATGAATGACTTCGTGACAGGTTCTGATATACATTCTTTGAAATGCAGTATTTGATTCCAGTATGCAAAAGTAAATCAGTTTCCTTGTGTTTATCTGATGTGGCAGTGCTGCTTAACCCCTTTGTCCACCTCTCATTTTTGCCACTCTGGAGTTCTGTGGTTCTTGGTTTTCAGGGATTCTGTGTAAGGAAGGTGACTCTCTACTTCTCAGATGCTCCTCTTAGGGTGGCACAGCAGGGGAATAGTTTGTGCAAGGTGTATGTGTTTCTGCAGTTCTTAACTTTCTGTTGGAAATTTGTGCGTGTTTCTGCACGTGCATTTTACTCTACAGCATCTTGATTTTTGCTTTTTTTTAAAAAAAAGCATTATTCCTCCCCATGTTGTTGCTTTTTAGTGTTGACATTAGTTCATCCGAACGTGGTCCCATGGGTGTCCCCTGGAGTTGGGCTACTTTTGTCTGTTTGGTCCATAACTGAGGTTTCCTTAGGCAAGAAACTGAAGCCTCAGGTGTCAGACCTGTGCAGTTATGCATGCTTTTTTTTGGATTCTTTTGTGGTCTGTTTGTGTGTGTGTACAGAGAGGCAGCACTTTCAAGAAGTTACCTTTTACCCTTATAACTGTCTATATACTCTATCCCATAGTTTTACAGGCTTCTCAAATAAGCACATAGATTTGAAACCTGCATGAATATGGTGCTATTGTGCACTCCCTGCTGAGAAAAGAGGAGAACATGAGTTGTATCTTGAATGCAAAGAGGGAATTTTGCACAGGATGCATGTGCAGGCTTAGATATAGGTGAGCTGTTGAAGGACTGTGCTGGACATACTGTAAAATCAGCATTTCTGGTTCCTGCCAGCTGCTGGCATCACCTTCTTCCCATATGTTAGTGTGTGTCCACGTATAAATCCTTTGAGAGTTGCTGTCATTTATTAGCTTTTAAAACATTGCAACCTGTGCATTGCATCTGTAGGGAAGAAGTTGGTTTACTTAAGAGCATGCACCTTGAGAGGCTGTACAATATATTAGTTGTGTATATACCCATTTTAGATCTAGCTACGTGTCTTGTGATCCGTCTGTGTTTGCTGTCTGTCTGATCTCCTGTCCTCCTTTTTGCTGGCTTTTGTCTGCAGGAGTGCAGAAAGAAAGAAAGTTAATCACACTTTACAGGAGGGAAATCTATTGCAAAGTGGCCAGGATTCCCAGTGGAGTTTGAGGATTTGGTGCCATTATGCTCATTAACACCAGATTTTATCACATGATAGGATTAATACAGCCTGTTTCAAGGAGACTGCTACTGCCCTTTGCCCCTACTTATTTTCTCAGATAGACTGTTTCATAGAAATACCACAAGTCCCAGTAGCAACTGGTACTGCTCATTTGTTAAAGCTAGGTTATTTATTTCCTGTTGGAAGCGGAAAAAGCAGCTGAGGATCTAAACAGAGATCACTTAATACAGTTTAGCATTGAAATAAATGGAGTGTATGCTAATATTTAAGTTTATTTTTAAATTATCCTTAAAATAATTTGATTCAGTTGGATTTACTTATCTATTTACAAGCTTGTAATCCAAAAGTTTAAGTAGTGTTATCAGATGGAATAAGCTGAAACTATCCAAGTTAGAGAAGCAAAGTGCATATTATTCCTCCAACAGCAAGACTAAGTTCATTTTCAGACTAAATTAGATAACAAGGAATCTGTCCTTTATCTGTAGGCCAGTGTTGTCTAATTAGCCTTTTGGGTGATAAAAGGATGGGTGGTTTTTTTCTGTTTGTTGCAGATTTTCATCATATTGTTAGGAGCATTCAGGACATCCCCCTTAAGACCATGTGAAGCTTTATGTACAAGCTGATAGTGTGTAATGGCCTTTCTTTGGCTTTCAGATGGAAATATCTAGACAGTATACCCTCCTTGCTGGGTGCAGACCCATCAGCTGAGAGCTGTGCGTTATCGCAATGAAAGTTTCACTCTGTGTTTAAAATGGCTGTAGTGGAGGATGCAATATGATGTGTCCTTTTTAATTTGCAGGTTGCCACTGTTGGGGTTCTCTGGACTTGTTTTCTTCTTGGAATGGTAGGACTAGGAAACAGCTGCCGAGGGATGAAGTCTCCACCACTCCTCGTGGCTGCACTTGTGGCGTGCATCATTGTTTTGGGCTTCAATTACTGGATTGCAAGTTCTCGCAGCATGGATCTGCAGGTAACTTTCCTTTTGTACTTGTGTGATTCATAAATATAGTTCACAAGAAGGATGCTGCCCCTGCATCTGGTGAGCCAGAAACTTGAGCTTTTGTAGAAACTTTCACAAGTGCTACAGTTGTTGCTTATTGGTGGTAGGAGATGGGGGAATGGGAGGAATGCCTGTTTATAGCTGAGGAGGACCCAAAATTTGAAGATCTGCATGTATGGTGTTTGTTACTTCTGCTTCACAAAGCGTTGAGCTATCTTGTGCTGCTTTGGTGTACAGATGTTGCAAATGCCATCCTTTGTTTTTTTCTTCATAACTGTACATTGAGACTGGCACTGCATTTTGGTGTGAAGGGGCATTTGCAGTTTGCTCATCTGTCATGGTTTAATCCCAGCCAAGCCCCACACAGCCACTCGCTCACTCCCCTCCCCAGCAGGACTGGAGAGAGAACTGGATGGTAGCAGCTAGTAAACTTGTGGGTTGAGATTAAGGCAGTTTAATGGATAAAACAAAAGACACACACAAGCAAAGTTAAAGCAAGGAATTAATTCACTGTTTCCTGTGGGCAGAAGGTATTCAGCCATCTCCAGGAGAGCAGGGACCCATTATGCCTAATGGTTACTTGGGAGAAGACAAACACCATCATTCCAGATGTCCCCGCTTCCTCCTTCTTCCTCCCACTTTATATGCTGAGCATGATGTTCTATGTTATGGAATATCCCTTTGGTCAGTTTAGGTCGCCTGTCCCAGCTGTGTCTCCTCCCAATCTCCCATGCATCCCCAGCTTCCTTGCCAACGTGGCAGCACACGAAGCAGCAAAGGCCTTGGCTCTGTGTGAGCTCTGCTCAGAGGTAACAAAAGCATCTCTGCATTATCAACCCTGTGTTCTGTACAAATTCAAAACACAGCCCCATACTAGGCACCATGAAGAAAATTCATTCTACCCCAGCCAAAACCAGCACACTCATTTCCCTAGAGTTTTCTTCTTACAGGACCCGTAAGAATGTATGCATATTTTCGCCCCAAGTACAAGGAAATATAGATCGTTCAGAAACAATGTCTAAAAATGTGGATTTGTGTTTCTTCGTAAAGTTTCTGAAGGAGGATATACAGCTCACGTGAAATGCTGTTTTTCTAATGGTAGCTATATTTTTTGTGTCTTTGAGCTTGAGTTTTAATATATCCTGGAGCCTTTGTTCTGAAGTTGGGGACGTGAATGAAGTTTCTGGTTTGTGTCAGTCTGTGCAGGATGGTTCTTCTTTTTTTGTGTTAGCAAGCAAACCTCAAAACTAACAAGTGGTGATTAAACTTGGCTGATGAGAGCTTCTCCAGATTTTTCCAGTGAATTTGTATCTTTGTAACTGAGTTGAATTTTAGTACTGAGTTGACAGCTGAAGGAATTGAACTCCCATTTCACATCAGAGTGGGCACTATTCAAAAGGACAATTGTCACTGGTCAAGCAATTAAGGGTGTGTCTTGGCTTTCCCTTGTTCTGACTTCTGAGACTCTGGTCATCCCTGGTTTTCCCTTTAGTCAGTGTCCTCAGGATGGTGACTGCCAGCAGGTGGCAACTGTGTAGGTACTGCTGAAGCTTTACTGCTATGCTGTGGGGCAGCTGGTACTGAGAAAAATGTGCCACCACCCTAGCTTAATCTTGGTCTCAATAACCTAGAAACATAAAGTCCTCCTTAATGTTACTGATTTACTGTACCGTCTTGTACATTTCGTCCAAACTTAACCTGAAAATCACTTCACTGTGCATGGTTGTGCACTCTAAATGAAATAAAAGCATAGCAGAAAGTGTGGATGGAGCTTCTAAAGCACTCTGTCAGCCCATTCGTCAGCTAGACTTTGCAGCTATTGTGGCTGAAACGGCATGAGTGCTTTTCTTTGCTAAACTGCCAGTCTTCTTTTTTTTCCCCTCTCTGCCTCCTCTTATTCTCTTGCATTCTGTGGCAGAGAAACAGAGTAGATGGGCCATAATCTACAGTATACTGGGGGGTAAGAAGATTTAGTCAGTTCCCTTGGAGTCTTGGACCATGAACAGTTTCTGTTACATCTAATTTTTAATCCACCTGAAATTGCCAGGCCTTTTTATCTGTGTAGATTCTGTTGATATCCCCACTCCCGTGCATGTCTTTGTACTCCTTGTTACTGCTGATGAACAATTTTAACCTGGAATGTTAAGAAACAATGTCCTGCAAAGCTAAATTTGTACGTATAAAAAAAGAAGGGGCTGGGGGAGAAGCTGTGATAACATCAGCCTTGATTCCTTAGCTTGTATCAACGTATGTGATGTTTGTTCTGATTGTCCCTGCTGTTTGAGCAGTCAAAATGATTTTCTGTTTATAAATGAGTTTTCCTCATGTGTGTTGTTGTGTAATAGGCAAATGTCAGCTGTTCATGTAGAATCTGGGCAGTGTTATCCTCCCTCTACTCTTGCCTAGGTCTTCCAGGAAAACAGAATGATTGGAGAAATGAGTTTTCACTCTGAGTTAGTTTAGTGTCAACACTGGGAAGTGGGACAATGTCAGAATTGTGTGTGTTAAATTACAAAAGTTGTTTGACGTATTTCAGAAAGATTGTAGACTGCAATTTTTTTTATATTTTGTGTTGGTTTTTTTAAGCTCAAGTACTGAGGCAGCTTTCCATTTTTCTTATCTTTAACTGATGTTTTGTCAGTATGTACAACATATGTACTGCTCATTGATGTAAAACTTGGGGGGATGTATGTGGCAAGTATCCCTGGCTGACACGGTACTCTGACAGCATCAGCATTGTTAGACCTGTGAAATTTGAAATTCCTTGAATATACTGGAAAAGAGTCTAGCAAGGGGGAAGCATTTCCATCTGCTCTGTCTAATTTTCTCTTCCTCAGGGTCGAATTATGGATCTGGAAGGCAAAGTCCGCAGGGCAGCAGCAGAGCGGGGTGCTGTGCAGCTCAAAAAGAATGAATTCCAAGGGGAGCTGGAGAAGCAGCGACAGCAGATTGATAAAATCCAGTCCTTGCACAGCTTTCAGATGGAACATGCCAACAGAGTACATCAAGAAGAGAAGGTAGGGCTTTTTCTAGCCCATTTTCTGTGAGACTGTGGTTTACTAAGGCGTTCTCTGTAACAGAAAATGTTGCTCAGGTGTTCCAGCTGATGGGCATACAGTCAGTGCTGGTGTGGCAGAACGTTTAATTTTTTTGTCATTATGTGATATTTAGAAAATGGACATTGAATGTGTGTTTATAGCAGTCATTGCATAATATGAGAAATATTAGAAGCTGCAAGTAACAGCGCTTCTGAATAAAACCTCTACCCCCTCTATAAATCATTGTTGCCAACCTTGGATTGGCCTCTTGCTCTCTTTCCTGTGTAGTAATGTTTTAAAAATAGAGGAAAAGAGGAAGATTAACCAAGACATACATTTGTATTCCCAAGCATATTTGTAAGCATAAATGGTTGATGCTTATTTCTAAATGCTTTCCAAATTTTGTGGGACTTTGGCCTTCTGCCACCAAAACTGGGGAGCCATGGAAAGGTCAGACTTTGATGGCAGTGCTCCTGACAGTGCAGCACTGCCAGAGGGATGGAAGTCCTGTGTGAAGAATGTAAACATATCTACTTAAATATCAGTGTGCACAATTACTGCTGTGTAGTATCTTGCAAACAGCTGTTTTGTTGTGTAGTTTCCTTGTGTTGCTAATACCAGTTTGAATGTGGTTGTTGGTCACTAATATCACCTTTCCCCTGCTAGCAGAAGTATTTAGTTGAGAGCATTGATTGCTTCTCTTATAGAGTCTCTTCGCTGAATTTTATAGATCAGCTTTCCAGGACTGTTATTCTCAAGCAGGTGAACAGACACAACTCATGATGGTAATAGGTGTTCTTCAGGTAGTGGATTCACCAAGAGGGGATGGTTCGCTGCTGAAAACTTGTGAAGCCTGAGAAAAATATCACCAGAATAATATTTGAAGGACTTAGAGGAAGAAAATTTGAGTAAAAGTGGTAGGTGGAATTCTTTCATTACTATGCTGTCCTGGTTCCAGTCAGAACAGGGTTAACTTTTCAGCAGCCAGGACCCTGGGGTTTTTCTGTACCCCCCCAGGCCATGAAGAGGGGACACATGCAGAGTGCATGTTGCAGGGCTGCACTAGGTTCAGTTAGTGTGAGTCATTCACCTGTGAGCAACTGCATGTGAGTCATTCGCCTGTCTTGTACACTCTGTTGTTAATACAGTTGTTACTGTCCGTTTTCTTACTTAATTGCTAGTAAATTGTTCTTATCTCAGCCTGTGATCTTTACCTTTTGTGCCTCCAATTCCCTCCATCCTGCCACAGGGGGAGAGGGTGGGAGAGTGAGCTAGTGTATGTGGTCTGGGGGGTTACAGTGGGAACACTAAATTGGGGAATACCACTCCTAAACCACGACGTATGCACTTCAGTGGGATATATCTTTAGTTTATTTTGAAATTGCTTGTACCCAAAGTCTTCAAAGAAATAACAAATCACTTCTTTTTACCTCTTTTGAGTCAAATGTAGTTCTTTGATAATTTCTTCTCTTTGAGTGTACTTTAAAAAAGGTGAGGCATAGTTTGTCTGTTTATTTTATTAGTGTATATATTTATTAAAGTTATCTTTGGTTAGTCAGACAGCATTCAAGTGAGTAATCAATCTTGTTGTGACTTATGCCTCCTAATACTGGGTGTTGCTACTGAGTGCTGTGGCATTTTTTTGCTTTCTACTCCCGTCCTGCAAGGATATGCATGAGTCAAAGAAAAAAAAATTCCCAAAAAAATCCAAAAGTAAGAAAAGGACAAATGTAATGGAATATTAGGCTTCCTTTTCATAAGCAGATACAGCCAGAGTTATTAAAAGACACTGGAACAGTAAGTGCTGGCCACAGAGTTTGCAGCACAGGCTGGCCAGGTGGGTGGACATGGAGAGGTGGTGACAGTTCATCCAGGGGTTTTAAGGATGAAATGTTGCTTCTGCCAAGAATGATGTGCCACCTTTTTGCTCCAAATTACTGTGGTACCAGACAAATGTAGCTGGTACCACACAATCCACCTTTCTTGTGGTGTTTTTGAGTCCAGAGGACATGAAAGAACTGTTGTCCATTAAATCTGGCATCTGTGTCAGGAAAAGTGGTGAGAAGTATTTTACAAAAACCAGAACTGCTGTTGAACGTGGGGGATAATGTAGTAGTCTGGGGGAGAGTCAAAGCAGCTTCTGGAAAAGGAAGTCTTCTGAAGTCTCTTGGAATTTTCTTCTGAAAGAGTCAGTGACAAGGGTGAGGGAGATGAATGCATTCACACCTGGAGTTGCCGAAGTCTGCACATGCATGGCATGTGGAGATGTCATGCAGCCATGTGGTAAGACAGTGTTACTGAAGGAGTGGGTGATAAGGCAACAGTTACAAAGCAGCTTAGAAATACACTGGGTTTGATTTTTCGCTGTGGAGATGTCAGTGCTGGGGAAGGCATGCAGAGGAGAACAAGGAGGATAACCAAAGCTGTGCAGTAATTTTTCTACAGCAATGCACAGTGTAGGCTGGACAAGAGTCAGTGGATGAGAACTATCACAGTCGTCTCCAGGATCCTAAATGGTGCAGAAAATACTTGTGGCTGGGAGACAAGGCATGGTTGTTCTTCATCCACCAGTGGGCTTCAAATGTCATAATGAAGTTGTAGTTCAGACTGGGAGGAAGTTAGTGCTTTTCAGGTAGTAGATGGCGAAGCTGCAAATGCCTGACATCCATAATGGCCAGTTGCAGTGGGTCTGTGTGGGTTTAAAAAGCAATTGGAAAACCTTGGACAAACACCTGCCCCACCACCCAGTACCAAGGTGTTTGTTCTGTCTCCAAGCATTCCTCAGCCAGAAGTAGCTGGTGCTTCTTGGAAAATACTGTGCTTTATTGCTGCCTTGCAATTCATTTGGCATACCAGTGTTAGAGACGAGATGCTGGGCAAAGCAGATTTTGGGGCTGGTCTAGGAGCTCTTCCTTCCTCTTAAATGCTTTTCCATCACCCCCAAATACAGTTGTTCGGTAATGGAATAGTCTATATACTTGCTGTTGAAACCCCAGGAGCGGATGCTCTAGGAAGCATTACATGAAAGTGGTGTAGTGGATTTGTTTCCTGTCTTCTGCTTTTTTTTGTGACTGGAGAAAAGTGTGTCTTGGGAGCCTGAACTGGTGGGACAGGCATGTATGTGCCGTGTCAAATTCACAATTTGTGCTTGTTGTGACATGAACAAATGCCCTGCACAGATGCTATTTGTTTTCCAGCTCTGATTTAAGAGCAGAGAGAATTGTTTTACTGGGAACATGTGTATTTGTCAAAAGATGCCATCAGACAAGTTGGTACTGTAATTTAGGAATTCCTGTGATAAGGTGGCAGGGAAGAGATGGAAAGCTTAGTTCTCACCTCTAATGACCTTCATCTGAAGAAGCTGTCCAGGATCGGAGGTTATTCCACAGAGGGATGTGGAATATAAAAAAAAGACTGGTTTTTTTTTTGTGTGTGTGTGTACCTACGTTTGTGTGTAAGTGTGTGTTGTATATTCATGTCTTACATACACACACATGCATACATACCTTTGCTTTTCAGCCCCATGGATTCCAGTGGAATCTGGGATTCTTGGGAGTCAAGTAATGAATTCACCCTTTCTGGTCATGAGAGGCTTGCCCCTTGGACTGAACTTTATTTATCCCAAGAAGATTAGCAGTAAGTATTTACCTAGTCAGGAAGAATGAATACAAACCCAAATACCGAGTCTCTCAACTTGTTTTACAAGTAATATAAACTGTACAACAGAGAGATCTGTGGGTCATAGATGAGATTTTGCTTAGCTCTTGTTGTTCTTAAAGTAATATGAAAATGCTTTCAACTGATATGTAGGAGTGAATGGTCTGTCTCAAAACCCTCACTTTTTCAGGGAGAAATTATTATGGTTCTTCTGATTATAGAAGAAATTTATATGCGAGCAAACTTTCGCAGTCTGGACATCTTACTAAATGCAGCTCTCAAGTAACATTTGAGGCACATCTTAATTGCAGTTCATCTTGGGTCACTGTGTCTTATTACTCTGCTGATAAAATACAGAATAATTATGCCATTTCATACGAAACTAATACACCAATAAGGTACTTCCCCTCCTAGTCATTGTCAGTGGCAGTGCAGTAATGACTTTGAGTTAAATCTGACTTCTTTTCTAGTAGAGCTGTCTCTGTGCTACTTAAAGGATGAGGGCATAGAAGGTAGGAGGTAGTGTGAGCCTGAAATATGTGGGCTCACCATTCTCACCAAGCTATGCAATTCTGAGAAATTGTGGTTGTAATTATTCTATTCAGGCTGAGTATGTATAAAAACTCTGCTGTCACCAGCTGCTTTTAAAAGGCCTGTTTGCATTTTTAAAGATGGATGTAGATTTAGGGGATGGCTTCTGGAAATCCATGCAGAAGTAGAATGAAGAGATCAAGAGATCTTACGTGAACTCTTGATAACAACACATAAGGAATCGGGAGTGCAAAGGGGCTGTTTCTAATCTGTGAGCAATTTCCGAAGAACAATATTCTATGTGGTTGTTACTCAGGACTCATACCTTCTGGTATGTACACAGCCACAGTAGCCTCTTTGAAGAGACTAACAGGATGATACTGTGTATAATATCTCTTCTTTTTAACAGCAAGAACATGCTTTTGCAGCTGGTAATTTTCTTTGGATTTGTGTGATCCTTCAGCAGCCCACATCTTGATTTACTGAGGAGAGGGTCCAAGGTTTGTACAGTATATGTTGCTCTGTGTCTTTTAACACTGGCCACAGCAGCTCTCTGGTCCCCTTCCTCTGGGAAAATTTCAATTCCCTGCACAATCTTCTGAGACAAAATACCTATTGGTATGTGGAGAGTCTTCGCCATGTGAAAGGAATGACAGTAGTCAGGGGAGGGGGAGAGAGAGAGAGGAAAGCCTGTGAAAAGGTTCCTATGTGTGTTTTTTGTTTTTGTGGTGTGGTGGTCTTTGGTTTTGTTTGGTTTTTTGTTTTGTTTTGTTTCAATGTTGCATTTTCTGGTTTTGGAAAGGCTTTAAAGGAAAGGAAGCACTGCCTGATGTCCTGCTCTACTTGCCATTAGCAAGAGAAATCAATCTGCTTACTCATAACTGGTATAGCAGAAGTATAGAAGACCACTCCTGTTCAAAATATATCTTCACATGGTGGGGAGAAAAAAATGTTGATCTGAGACTATCTGAATTCTAGGCAGCCTTACAGTGGGAATTAAGAGTTAACTACTGGGATGTTTCTACCTCTTCATAGCAAAATGAATGGACAAGAAGAAATACAGAAGGTACATTAGATATGCCTGTACAGGTTTTACATTAAGATTCTAATATCACAGGATTTTGATGTGCTTGCACTGCCTGCTATTTGGTTTTTAGTTGCACAGGGCTTGTTTTCTACAATCCACTTGCTGTTGCCCTGCATCTGTAAAAATAATTTCTTATTTGTATGTGTCATCTTCCTCTCTCATCTGCTAAAAGTGTTATAAGTGGTTAACTTTGCAATTTTTGTGGTTTCTGCACTTCTGAAGGCTGAACTGCACCATGTCATGGTGCACATGTCCTTAGTGACGAAAGAGAGAGTCTAAATTGCTTTTAGCATAAGATGTGAAACAGGGCTGAGTCTCTGATCTTTGCCAGGATCACTCTTTAGGAATAGAGCTGGTTTTTGGGTTTGGGATTTTGGTGGTTGGGTGGGTTGTTTTTTTGGTTTTGTTTGTTTGGGTGTTTTTGTGTTGGTTGGGTGGGGGGTTTTATGTTTATTGAGGATGAGGAAGAGTCTGCAATTTCTGAATAGAATTCAGATCAGTGAGAAATAGATTTAAATGAACAATATCTCCTCTATTTTGGGCTTGAAATTTGTTTCAAGACTTGCTTGAATTGATGCACCTCCACCAAAGTATGCATTAGAGTGCAGAACACAGACCAGCCTAAAAGAACTATTTCCTTAGGAATCTTATTTACAGACTTTTTTCCCCCACATGCTGATACATAGTTAGCCATGAATCCCATGGCCTAGAATGTAAAAGCCTTTTTGTGGCTAGTTCTCATGGTTTAACCCCAGCTGAAACTAAATAACATGCAGCCTCTTACTCCCCCCACCCCCCCCTCAGTGGGAGGATAGTTTGAGGAAAACACTAAAACTCTTGGGTTGAGATAAGAACAGTTTAATAACGAGTCCAAGTGAAATACCAATTACTAATGAAAAGGAAAGAGAGGGAAGAATAAAACCCCAGAGTAACAAATGATGCACAATACAATTGCTCATCACCTGCTGACTGATACCCAGCTTATCTTCCAGCAGTGATCAGAGCCTCCAGGCCAAGTCCCCCCAGTTCATATACTGGGCATGATGTTCTGTGGTATGGAATGTCTTTTTGGCCAGTTCTGGTCAGCTGTCTTGACTGTGCTCCCTCCCTGCTTCTTGTTTACTTGCTCTATGGCAGAGTATGAGACAATGAAAAGTTCTTTGACTTAGAGTAAGTACTAGCTAACAACCAAAACATCGTGGTGTATCAACATTATATGCTTGTTAATGCCAGCATGGTGGTGAGGATTGTGCAAGAGAGAACTGTTCCTTTTCTTTGCAGGAAAGCTTAAATCAGTTTGATTTAATGATGAAATAGGTGCCCCACTTCTCTCTGATTAATTATAAATGCCTGTTTCTGCGTGTATAAATCTTAGGCTCCCATCTTGCTTTATTCCCAGTTGGTTTTCTTAGCAGCTGTTCTACTGATCCTGTGGCCCATCTTTGTCTCCTTTTGTGCTGTATTTGTGGATTCAAAGCCCCTTTTTTTCTTAGGTTTTAGTTTTGAAATCAGTGTTTACTGTCATCAAGTTATTTGCTGGTTTATTGATTATTGCCTGCTGCAATATGTCACTCTGCCTTTATATACAGCACATACTGTCGGTGTTAGAAAGCACATCTGTCAGTTCAGTGTGCTTGGGTTAGCTTGATTTATGATTGTAGCAAATGCTGAAGGAGTTATTGTAGTAATTCCTCCAAGGAGTATGTTTATGGAGAGTACACTGTGAGGCATTAATAGGATCAAATGCATGTACATACTTAGAATTTAAGGGTTGGAATGGACCTTACAAATCATCTAGTCCTAACCTCCCTGCCATGGGCAGGGACACCTCCTCACTAGATCAGATTGCTCAACGCCCCATCCAGCCTGGCCTTGAACA